TTATTAGTCACTATCATGGAGGTATGCCTAAATGTTCAGGAACCTTCAAAATGTTAAGAAATGCAAAAATTTTCAATTTCGATTTTTGGGCGATTACAATAACTTACCCTACGGGAAGTTAAAAATGGTTCCAATCGTTTGCCCTAAATCAATAGGTGCATGGGCTCAATAGTCTGCTCTAAAAATTTTGGTTCCTGAACATTTAAGCAATAAATCTTAGGTTGTGGTGTGTGTAATAAATTTAAATTTATTTTTTCAAATGATTTAATGTTATATAATGATTATATTTGTTATCATTAGAACCATCAGGTCACATATTTAAATATCTAGTCCAGAGTGAATTGCAGATTCTGACACATTCACAAAACCGTCGCTGATACAGCTAGGCATAATTTTTTATTTAGTTTCCTGAAAAAAAAATAGTAAAAATATTTGATGTAACGATAATCTATAGGAAGTTGTCATATACTTTTTAGCAAGTGTGACCTCGAATAATCAAATTGAGACCAATCAAATCATGCAGTAAGTTTATCATATATCATGCCTGGAACTTTCTAACATCTTAATTTTGTATCGTCCACGTAATTAGCATTCTGTGTAATCACCGATTGTCATTAGGAATACAATCGCATTATTTTCACAGCGTCCGCGAAGAGAGTTCCGCGTGTTATTTGAGTTATGCGGGACGTTCAGTTTTTAAATAATTTAGATATCTATAATAAATATCTATTGAACACTTCATAATTTATTTCTTAGAATTCCATCCAACTTTCTGCAGGGTGAGTTATTGTAATCGTCCCGAAATCGAAATTGAAAAATTTTTCATAAATTCACCTTTGAGGGTTTCTGAACATTTTGGCATATCTTAGAAAAAATTGATGTGTTTGTGTTGTGTGTCTGCAATTTTTCGTTCAACCAATCAACCAATCAACCAATTTGAATGGTTTAAAAAACATTCAATTTCCATAGATAGGGATATGTGCTGAATAGTTTTTGGCAAAAACAGGTCCATCCGTTTGGAAGATATGGATCAAAGAGTGCAAAAAATAGAAATCGAGTTTTTGAGAGAACAGAGCATCCGATTTGAATGATTCAAAATTCATTCAATTCGTAATGATGGAAAGAAGTGGTGATTAGTTTTTCGCAAAGACAGGCCCATCCGTTACGGAGCTAAATGTGCAAAAAATTGCAGTTTTTGTGAGAACTAAGCATCTGATTTGATAGATTAAAGAAACTTTCTGCTTGTTTTGACGAAACAATTACTTTTGGGTTTTTTTGTTTCAAAATTTTAAAAAAAATCCACAAAAGTTTGTTTCTTATATATCGAAAATAATTCTAAGTTTAATTTTAATTCTGGCTAAAATTTTAAAGTTCACTTATATAATTTAAATAAATAATTTTAACTTTGCCATTCAGTTTATATAACTCGACAATGTCTTTCATTTTAAATCCGATTGATTAAGTTACGTTTATTTACTTTTCTGTGATACATATATAAATGTCGTCGTCCAATTAATAAACTCCAATTAATAATCTTATATTTTGTATATGAAATTAGAATAATGAAAGTTGTAGTATTTATAATAATCTGTTTGAAAACATTTAGTATGACTCGAATATTTTGTTACGGTACGGAAAGTTCCAGCAATTTGTCTTAAGGCACGATGCGATACACCACTAATTTTCATTGAATTATATGATATTTCATTATTATTTTTATATAAAATATTTACAAGATAGTATAGTAACAGAGTATCTTCAAATTTTTAATTTGTTATGCATTAACATTCCCAGATTCTCTTCATATTATATTTTTTATCCTATTTCTTACTCAATTAATAAAGATACCGATATACATAATACATCACTAAAATAAGGCATTATATTTAATTTTGTGCTTAACTGACATGTTTATTGGTATTACTATGTTTATTGTTGGCATATATTTCAAATGAGAATCTTCCAAGGTCCTATAAGATTCACAATGAAGTCTTATGGGATACGTATAAGATAAATTTCCCGCGCAATTTTCGAAGTTATGAAACTAATTGAAAGTAACTATTAAACTAACGAAACGTCTTTGGACAAAATATTTATTATATGAAACATATATTTTTTATAACTAGTGCAGAAGGTTTTATTTTAATTATTATTTGGCCTCGCTCACTCTGAGCATTTAGCCACCTACAACATTTTTATTTATTTACATTCTATAAAACCAATTTTTATATCATATTCAATCTATATATACCCAATTCTATATTCTTCTTCTTCTTAATTTCTTCAATTTTTGCTGTTTTCTATCAAATTTCTAATTCTATTCATCTTCTATGTTCATTCCATTTTTCTTCTTTATTCTTCTTTTTAATTTCAGCAAATTCTGATATTTTTTCTTTGTACTCCTAATTCAATTCAGCTTTTCAAATTCTGCAATTTTTATTTTTCTTAATTTTTATTCAATATCTACTTAACAACTACAATTTTCATTTAATTTCAAATTGACTACATAAATTTTTTTTCATAAATTTTAAGTCAATGACAGGATTCGATCCAAAGATCCCTGTCGTGTGAATCGAACACGCTGTGAGCTATGCTAGCCATTGCAGAAGGATATTTGCGATAATTTTAAATTTAAAGTATTTGAACGAAACAAACTCTCTGCAACTAGAGTAATAGACAGATGATTTTTTAACAACCCAATTACTTGCCTATAAACCCAACATTCATTCATTGGTAATTAAGTATATTAATCATCCTTTTTCTTTAAAAAAAATATTAATTAATCTCCCGCAGGTTAAGGGGATACACCACTGTAGATTTTTTCGGAAATCCAACAAATTTTTTAGGCTTAAAATATACTTTAAATCCCCTGGGGGTCCATGTGGACCACTTTAGGAATCACCGCGTTAGACGCGGCGCTTACGCTTTTCGACATTTCGTTTCTAAGCAGCTAACGCAACGCGATTACTTTAAAAAAAAGTTCAAAATTATCAAAAAGTTATGAAACATTTTTTGAAAAAGACATATTTTCTCAACCTTTTTTTCAACGTTTTCAAAAAATTTTAAAGCATTTAAAAAACTAGTTGGTTTGGTGTTTAGCCTTGAGGCAAGTTACATAAACTTCCCGATATGTTTAAATAATCGACTTAATCAATAAAAAATAAATTCATTTATGATTGATTAGAAGTATTCCGAGTTGATTTATTACACATAATTGAAAACGAATGAACACGTTGCCTCGAATTTTCTGAAAGCAAATTTTCACAAATCAATAATTTTCATAATTGAACCAGTTTCCGCAGGACTTTAATGGTTTAGTAATTAGTATGTTCATTAAGACCAAGTACTCTATCGTTATACCAAGTAAATCGTCTAATTTTGATTTTAACAAACGTCAAAAAACTACTCATTTTCTCAAACTTTGATTAATTTTTAAAATTAAACTACTTGTCATAAGGCCGTGATATTTCAGTAAGTTTTATAAGACCATGATATATATCACCTAAAAAAAACACAAAAATCCGTATGAATTTTTTTTTCAACAGTTAATTACAAGAAAACGGCTCGGTAGATTTTCACCTAAAAATAATCAGTATCATTCTCAACTAATATCTTTCGAACAGTTTTTGATTTTTGAAAATCGATTCGGTAGTTTGAGCTTAAATGTGGATGAAAAGTTTAACACTTTTTTTTAAATTACAAAGAAACGGCTCGGCAGATCGTCTCACAAAACTGACAAATTATAGTCCTCATTGAGATACATCAAATGACTTTTAAATTTATGAAATCGGTTCAGGCGTTTTTGAGAAAACGTCGATCAAATGTTTAATTTTGTCAAATGCCAAAAAAACGATACCAATTTTTGCAAACTTTGACGAATTTTCAAAGTTAGACCAATTGTCGTGGAGCCGTAATATTTTAGTATGATCTAGAAGACTATGGTATCTACCGTCAAAAAAATAATAATAAAAATCGGCGAAAAAAAATTTTTTAACACTTTATTACAAGAAAACGTCCCGGCCGATCACTACCAACAACTCATCAGCACGATTCCCAATCAATATCTTTCGAACGGTTTTTGAATTTTCAAGATCGATTCAGAACTGCGGGCTAAAACGTAGACGAAAAATTTTTCTCTTTTCTGCTATTAACAAAGAAACGGCTTGGCTGATCATCGCGAAAAATTGATAAACGCTAGTCCACATCGAGATACATCGAATGGCTTTTAAATTTTTGAAATCGGTCCCACCGTTTTTGAGAAAACGCCGATTTACGGCAAAAAATCTGTTCACACACAGACACACATACTTTTTCCAAATTTGGTCTCATTCGGTTCAGAATGGCTTAAAACGTCGAGAAAACATAAAATTATAGAATCGGATTTTTTGATGAAAACATAAACTTCTCCTTCGGGAAGTTAAAAAATGGTACGGGAAGTTCCAGCAATTTGCGTTAAGGCACGATGCCATACACCACTAGTTAAACGATTTTATATAAAAAAATCGACCGCCGGATTGTAGACTCGAACCCGATCCGTTGGTACTCGAATTCGAATTCCAGCGCTGTAGTCACTACGCCATGCAATGCAACAATGACAGCAAGCCATCACCAAGGCGTTTTACAAACGTGTATTATCATTAACAAGCGATTTATATAAAAGAATTCGTAGATTCGAATTGAATATTTATTACAAATATAAGATTATTTATTTATTTAATTGTATATAGAAGTGTATATATTATAGCTTATAAATTATTTAGATCTCTATATTTATTTTAACGTGTATATAGTGTATGTTGTGAAAATAGTTTATTATTATTATTATTAAAATATTATCAATTAAAGAACAGTGAAGAGTATATAAAATTTGTACAAAACAGGAACTTGAAAAATCCACGTGGTTTTTCGAGTGACATTTGGCAAACATAATTTGAGGTTATGCAACTAAATTTTATTTATTTTAATACTAAAACATTAATTAATTATCAATAAAAAATGTATATATAGAACATATTTAATTAATAAGATTTTATAAAAATATTTTAAATATCAATCAATTCATCGATCGAAAGTTTTCGTAAAATTATGAGCAATGATTCGGGGTCTTCATCAAGTAATTCTCCGAAGGCAAAACAAACATTTATTATACCGCCAAATTTATTAGCACAACTTGGGATTAAACTAGATGTATTGCAGAATGGAACTAATCATGAACAAAATGTTGGTGATGTCAAAACAATTGCTGTTTCTACACCAAAACAATCTCAAAAGACTAAAGGTAATTTTCATTTTTTTTATAATTTTCTATATCTTGCGTTTTTTTTTTAATTTAGATTTAATTAGATCACATATAATAAAATTATCACAAATTTATAGTCACTATAGTAATAGACAAATGATTTTTTAACAACCCAATTACTTGCCAATGAACCCAACATTCATGTTGTATAAGTATATTAATCATCCTTTTTCTTAAAAAAATATATATTAATTAACTTCCCGTAGGGTAAGTTATATAGTAATTGAAAAAAAATCTAAAATGAAAGAATTGTTTTTATTCTTCTTTACAATTCTACTGAATAGATTATTCATAAATTGTCAATATGAATATGAGTCTGCATTTAGTGCGGATGAATTATTCATGTTCATCAATTAATCAATTACAATAACTTCACTTATATATTTCTACTTGATAATAAACAAGTTTGTCATTTTTGTTATAAAGTTGTTTAAAAAATTGTGCACTTTAACTCTATTATAAACTAATTTTAAAATTGTTTTAGACAAAAGTCTAACTAACAGTGCACAGTTGAAAAAAATACAAAAATTATGTGAGCAAAAAAGCGCTTTCAGAAATTCTGACAAGATTTTAAATTCTAGTATGGATAAGGATTTAAAAAATGTTCAAGAATTGTCAAGTACAAATAAATTTATACATACAAATGGTGCTGGTATGTTACAACAATCTACTTTGTCTACAATAAATAAAAATGATTTAGAATCCAATTCTACTGTTATAGATGGAGATAGCAAAAATAATAGTGCTGTTGGCATTATTAAACAAAACGGAACTTTAACATTTAAAAATTTGAACTCAAGTCTCAATGAAGAAAAAGAAATTTTATCACTTTATACTGAAAATGCAGTTAATCAGAATTCTACTATTGAATCTGTGAAACAAGAGCAAGTTTCAAATACTATTAAAAATGAATTTGAAGATACTGAATGCAGTTGTGAAATGAACTACTTAAATGGCAAATTGAATTGCTGTCGAAAGCATTACTCAAGTACAAATAATTATAAAATGGAAGAAGAAACTAATCTGAAATTTGTTATTGAATCTTCAACTGCTGAAAATAATCATTGTCTTTTGAAAAATCAGATAGAAGATAAAAGTTGTTTTGATTTGGATTCTTCATTGAATAGTAAAAATTCTGGAAAAGATATTAATGTAAAGGATTCACAACCAAATTCAAAAAAACAAAATAAATTACATTCAATAGGAGAAAAATCAAGTATTCATAATACTAATTTTAAAAGTAGTTTTAATATTGAAAATTACTGCCAAAAAGTTGTAAATCATTTGCAAAATGAAACAAAGAAGACAAATGGTACTATGGAGACATCATCAATAAAAATTAATGATCATAAAAGTAGGATAAGTAATTCAAAAATAATTTCTAATACTTCTAAAGAAGTCATCAAACAAATGAATTGTGATGAAAACACAAAACTTCATAAAAATACATTATTAACTGAAACAAAATTAAACCTATGTACAGAAATTCATACACTTGAAAGAGGACATAAAAGAAAGCAGAAAAGTAAATTGCATGTTGACATTATGGAAAACACTAATGATCAACTTGATTGTTCAGATTATATCAATGATCAAGATTCTGTTGCAAGTAAAAATAAAACACCCAAAATGTTACCTCAGCTTAATAATTCAGAGCAACCCTGTGTATCAAAACTTACTACACCAAAACGACGCAAAACTGCTAATCAAACTTTAATGGAACAAACTGAAATAATTGTAGAAAAAAGAACTCCAAGATTAAGTAAAAGTTTTACAGACTTTTGTGCTGGGAAAAAGAAGAAGCGAAAAAGGATAGATTCCAACTCATCTGCTACTTCCGACGATGGTAATATTTTTACTTTTGCATCAGTAGAGAATCAAGATTTCTGCTATATGTATATAACACTACAAAGTAAAAGTAATGAAACCTGTGATATTAAATGCTTAATGTGTGATCAATTTGTTGAATCAAACTGGAGTTTACATAAATTAATGCATAATAATTTAGTTGATGAGTCTTCAATTGTAAGTATTTCTCACATTTTTTAAACTAAAATTAAGATTTCATTTTTTTAAATGATATATATATACCCTATTAATGAAACATTAATATACCCCACCTTTTTATAATAGATTTTACTAACAAGTAATATACAAAAATTGAAATATGCATAAAATTAGAATTTATTGGATAAAATTTAATGCACACACACACACACACACACACATATATATATATATATATATATATATATATATATATATATATATTGGAATATGCAAATTTGGTGTTGATATACATTAAAACGTGTGTGTTGAGTCAGGCAATATCACCAAGTATAAAAACTAGAGCAATTAGGAAAACAGCTTTATTAATCCATACGTTTCAGTCTTCATCGAGACCGTCATCCAGTGGAAAAAGACAAAAACATTTAAACATTATACTACACTAATTGACACAATATTAACACCAAGCTATTAGTAGTTCAAACATTTAAAACTAATTATGAATTAGAATTAAAAAACTAACATTTTAAACTAATTCAAAATCAACTATTTAAAACTAATTGTGAATTGGAGTTAAAAAACCAAGTTTGTGTACATAGCTGTTAAAGTCTAAACTTTAAAAGTTAAAATATTAGAAATGTTAGAAAATTTGAAAGTTTTTTAAAACAAAAGGGTTGAGAAAAAACAGAATTAATAACCTGTATGATAGAATATACACTAATACTTTTTCTAAAAACGATTTTATCAAAAAATGTGATTTTATAAGTTTCTTTTCAGGCAAAGAAATAAATTTTGTAATTCAAATATTAAGTTATGTCTCTTTTGAGTTTGTTATGTGAGACAAAAAGTACTATTTCTTCGATGTTATAGGATAACTATTTCGTAATAAACTGTTTATTGAACATATGAATATGAAGGAGAAACACTTGATTTAAATCTGTGTGTATGTGTGTGTGCTGTTTTTATATATCAGAGTGTAAATACTTAAATTATTGAATTTAAAATGGATGTTGATATTATAAAGGACAGGAACAAAAAACAACTACAGGAATTTTGTTTACTCAAAATTTTCTTTTCTGTTCCTGTACTTTTACAAATTATTATTCGTTGCATATTTCTCAAGAAAGATTGTAATTTTTTGCTCATTCTTCTGAATACAAGTGAAATTATAAACTTTTCTTATGATAATACTTCCATATTTGCATTGAACGTTTATGAACATCTATGAAAACTAATGAGTTATTTGGTTGCAGTTTCTTTGGCCATTACAAATTATTTTTTTATTTCATAGTTAAAACTTTCTTTGAAAAGACTTCAAAATGTATATTTTTTGTTTTAAATTGATTCTCAATTAATAATTGTTTTAAATTGAAATTTATTAATTTTGTTTCAAATCACTATTCTTTGTATTTAAGTGTGTGACATAAATATAATTTTATTATGCACATGTGGCTTCCGGCTGGCTCTGCGTATACATTTTGACTGTTAATATTGTATGCTTTGATTTGATTTTTTAATTTGTAACTTAGTTATTTAATCAAGTGTTAAATGTTGCAGGTATCAGATGATAAAGCATCTGAACAAATTCTAAATGATATTTTATCCAAAACTGGTATTCTCTTGTGTGAAAAATGTTGTCATTCAGAAAATAATGCTACATCATTTTTGAATCATATTAAAACTTGCTCCATTGCTTCAAAGGTAAATATGATTGTTTTTAATATCCACTGAGAAGTGAAAAAAATTGTGTGTGTGTGAATGCATTTGTTTTTGTTGTGCAAGAAATTTGCATTGTAATTATGCTATTTATTTTAGATATTTTAGAATTAGGCATGTTGTATATTCTGATTTTCTGTTGATTATAAAATGGAAAAAAAGTGTTTAACAAATAAAATACAAGATAAAATAAAATCAGACTATAGATTTGATTTAATTTTATCACAAAATATAATGGTTTTATTATTCTGCAGAGATGTTGTAAAATTTGCAGACGATTATATATTAAGGTGACTAAAGATGATCATGCAAAACTTCATAAAATCCATTTTGAGAATTTACTCCATAAATCCAATAAGGATCATGATAAGCCTAACATATCAAAATTAAATGTCCCCGGTGCTAAGGTTATATGTGCATGCTGTGCTAAAGAAATGAATCACATTGATTGGGAGGAACATAATCTTACACATAATAATCTAGCGTGGATTCAGGGTCAAACTCCTGTTGTGAGTATATTGTATTATAATTTTTACTATAAACTTATGTACCAGGATTTAATAAAAAAAAATTGCCTTATTTGTGATAACAAAGAATTATTACAACGATAATATTGATTGTTGGCTATACTATTAATATTACTGCAGGATCAGGATCCAAAGAAAATGAGAAAGATACTTGACCCTATATTCAAAAAAAATAAATATATTACTTGCTATAATTGTAAAAGTAATATATTATCAATCCCAAAATTTATAAAACATCTGCAGATGTGTAAAAATAATTTTGTAAGTACAGCATTTATAATAGATACCTTATATGTCATATTTTTTAAATACATGCAGATTGTCATATTTTCAGGAAGGCAGAGAATTGCCACTGCTGCGGGATGTGTCAGCAAATGACAAAAGTGATCTCAATGTGAGTAAACCGATTTTTGATTTCTTTTTTGAGTAGGTAATATAATATGTTGTGGTACATCGGCTTACGATCGACTCCACATACGAGTGTTTCAATTCGTTGCTTTGACAAAGCAAAATTCAAGAACAAGTCAGATATTTTCTAGAAAAATGTTATTTACAAAATGAAAATATGAAAAATTTGTCTGTTGTAACAATGATTATATTACCACAGGAAATTTTTGGATGTCTAATAATAAACTATTTTATAGTTTTATTTTATTTATATTAATATTGATTGAATGAATTGAACTATTATGTCAGGGTACCACTGTTTATTCAAATTAATTGTAACAATAATCAAGTATTTTTTTATATTTAAATTTATGTTTTTTATTTATGATTATAAAGTATTTTAAATACTTCATATAGATTTCTGAGAACTTGCATAAAACTCTGGTACAAGATGATATTTCGACCATGAAATCTTCTGATGACGTTCTTGATAACTCAAAAATAATAAATGAAGTTACATGTGCACGATGCAATAATTTGATGCCTAGGAAGGAGTGGAATAAACATAAAATTCAGCATAATAATTTGGCATGGAATAATGAAGAATCGTCCATAGTATGATATAATTGTTATAATATATAATAATAATTTAAGTACCTAATTTTAACTAAACCATATAGTTTGGAATTGAATAAAAATATTAATTATTCAACAGCATATTTTAAAATATCTCCTGATTCTCAATGAGTAAAGTTACATATAAGCTATTGGCTGACGTATATCAATAATTATAATTGTCCTTCATTTCGCATTTGCTCACATTAGCTTTTGATTTTTACTACTTGATAGTTTATAGAACTCTGATATTTAAATTGATCATATTCATTTAAACTAAAATAAGACAGGTTCTAGTAATTGTTCTAGGCATTATGATAAAAGTTTTTTTTAATAAGTTACATAAACTTAATAAAAATATTTTTTTTTGTATTGCTCTTTGTGTTGAGAACAATATTTATAAGTTGAACAGATGCACATATTTAGCATGAATTATAACCTTTTAATTTTATCTAAAAATTTATTTTTAGGATTTAAAGAATAAATTCATATGCAAGAAAATTTTAGATGAGTTGGTAATGCAAGGCGAAATGTTGAAGTGTGAATATTGCAATACAAAGAAAAAAACTACAACAGAATATTTTGAACATCTTGAGAATTGTACTAAAATTAAGGTCAGTTTATAAGTTGGATATTTTTATAAACGATTTAATAAACATGAACTGTGGTTGATAGTGCTATTTTTTGTGTTGAGTTTAATTAGCACTTTTTTTTGTAAATAATATAATTGTTTATTTGAAATTATAATAACTTTTCTTGCAAATATGAATTGTTGTATTTTAGGATAAATGTGAATTAACATTTCTCACTGATAATACATCCATAATTAGTTCTAATGAATTAGAGGTAAGTGATTTTAAAATACATAAAATATATCACTAACAATTGATATTATTGTTTACTGAATTTTGTTACAGAAGTCAAGTGATTTCAATGATACTGCTATGGATATAGACAGCACAATTAATGAAAGCTCTTATGTAAGTAGTTACAATTTGATTTAGAATTAAGATGTATCTTTAGTTAATTAACACTGGAAATATTATATTACTGATTATCTATAAAATATTTTCAAAACAAGAAAATAAACTTGTAAGAGAATATCCAGGTTATTTTTACTAATTTTTAGCTATTTGAAGCAACTGATGTTAAAGATACTACACTCACATCTGATAAGGGAGGTGATGAAAATGATCTTAACACTTCTAAAAAAACACGAGAAGTTAAATGCGCACAATGCAATGAGTTGGTATCCATTAGTAAATGGAGCGCTCACAAAGTTAAACACAATAATTTAGCATGGAATGATGAAGAAACACCCATTGTAAGAAATATTATTCATATTTTAAAAACTTAAATATTTATGGTAGTCGAGTATAAAGAAAAACTTTTTAACATTGGTTGTTTACCAAACTAGATATATTACTTCTAATTATACATTATATATTATAGGACTTCAATAATAGAAGATTGTGTGAAAATATTTTACAGAAGTTGTTGAAAAAGAACAAATATTTAAAATGTGAATTTTGCAAAATCAAGAAAAAAAGTGCTGTAGGTTTTTTTTCTCATTATGAAAAGTGTAACAAATCAGAAGAGGTAAATTAATACTATCATACTCTTAAATAATAAAATTTTGACTTACAATTTAGCATTTATTATGATTTTGTTTTTTTTGCTTCACATAGGAGATACTACTGACACGCGCACCTTGCCCAATTTGTGGGCGTTCGTATGCTAAAAGTAGTTTACCAACCCATGTGTATCAAGTACATAATTCTTCTAAGACACCGTCTAATCAAGATAAAAATCATAAGGATAAAGTAGTTATGAGAAATCTGAATGAATCTAGAAATAAGCGTCATGCTGCATCAAAGTATGTGTTTCAGTATAAATTGTACATTTTGTATTATCATTTTTATTACTATTTTTCTTTTGAAAGATTTAAAATCACATTTTGTAAAAATAATTTCAATTTATGCAACATTAATTTTGATTTTATGAAAAAATATTAAATGAATGCTTTTTATATATATATATTTTAATAATTTTGATTATTAAAACTTTCAAATAGATTTTGAAGGTGTTGATTTTTTTAAATTGAGAATGTAGTTTTTTAAAAAATTTGCTAGTGCAGAGAGTAAATTTTAAAATTATTATGTATTGAGATTTAAATATAGGTATGCCAAAATAAATGGTCAGTGAGTGTTAACATGTAAAAATGTAATAAGAGTTATGTTAAGCTATTCTAGAAGAAATTTATTAATGATTTTAACAAACCCTTTAGGAACAATTGGATATTAATCTAGTTTTTTTAACTTGTTTTAGAGCTTTGACTTTAATAGAGGATTTGAAGAAAGGTGTAGTTCAGCAGAACAAAACAATTGTTAGTCAGGAAGGAAAATTAATATTTTATATTCTTTTATCTGCTTTCTGCATCAACATATATTTTCAGAATGATCTGTTTACATCTCCGGCTGCGGTTAGAATACCAAATCCTGTTGTAAAATGTTGGACAAAAGAAATAAGTAATTCAAAAGATGGAAAAGCTAATTGCCGAAATATACCATGTACATTTAGAAGTTCAGATATTGATGAATTAAAATCTCACTATACAAATTGCAATCTCCATCCTAAACGAGTGAGTTTAAGCTGTATAATTGATATATACCCAAAATTTGTTCAAATAAATGTTCTTGAATTTTATTTTTTTGTAAATAAATGTAGTATGTTAAAGATACTATTTAGAAAATAATGGACAGTTAAATCCCGCCATAAATCACCCCATACATTTTGAATTATTTTTTTTATTATTGTGAAACTTTAAACTTTTTTTAATTTTGCATTGCAATTTTTATTTACATTAGTACATTTTCTGACTTGCTCATTTTATGTTTTATCAACATTTCAAAATCATTCTTAATTCTTTGAAACCAAAATTTTAAAAAGTTTGCGTGTATGTATATGAGCCTATTTTTTACCTCATAAACAGCTGATTTTAAAAATTCAAATGTCATTCAAATGTAACTTGATTAAGTACTAACCTTTACCAGTTTTGCGCGACGGTCGAGCCGTTTATTTATAATCAGCAGAGAAATGTAAAATATTTTGATCGCGTCGTACCTAACTATCATCAATTGGTTTAAAAAAATAAGTTGAATAATGAAGAAAATAATATAAACAAGAAATAAATTTTTAGAAAAATGTCTAAAGGTAATAAACTAACTCAGTGATGAAAAATAAAATACAATTTGTAAACATATTTTTAGGAAACATCACACTGATCTTAAAATAATTATACATTAGTTCCAAACATTAATTATACATTAAAACCAATGCCAAATTTAGTTCATCTATACTTTTATTTTTTAGGGCTATTGGTGTACAGTTTGCAATTTTCGTTCTGATGTGGAAGATATTATGAAAGAGCATGTATCAAAGGAGCACATCACGGAATTGCAGAAAAAAATCATTGATAGTGATATTTTAGGAGAACGTCAAGACAAGGAATTTGATATTGACGCTGAAAATGAAAGTGAAAATGATTTAGAGTATGATCTGTCTGGAGCAGAATGGGATGATGCAGTATCGGGCATAGAAGGACAAAATAATTTCCAACGGACGCGTAAGTATTGAACATTTCTTATAACTATTATTAACTTCCCGTAGGATAGTTATAGTAATGGGCCGAAAATCTAAAATGAAAATTTTTGCATATTTTTACGTTTTGAAAGTTTCTGAACATTTTGGCATACCTCAGAAAAAATGGATATGTGCATCGTCCACGTTTTCGGGTGCACGGATCAACTGATTTGAACGGTTCAAAAAACATTCGATTCCTATTGATAGTGAGATTTGCTGATTAGTTTTTGACAAAGGCAGGTCCAGCCGCTACGGAGATACAAGACAAAGAGTGCAGAAAATAGAAATCGAGATTTCGAGAAAACAGAGCATCTGATTTGAATGATTCAAAATACATTCAATTCATAATGATGGAGAGAAGTGGTGATTAGTTTTTGGTAAAGGCAGGCCCATCCATTTCGGAGATACGCAGCTAAATTTGCAAAAAATGGCAATTTTTGAGAGAACTAAGCATCCGATTTGAATGATTCAAAAAACTTTATTTAACTAAAAATTATTTTACTAAGTTAGTGCTAATAAGTTTTTTTATACTTCAACTCTGAATTGTTTGATATAAAAAAGTAGGAAATAGTATTTGCATGCGCATGTGAATGCAAATTTCGACGTCGACTTTGTCTCTAAAGTGAATGGACCAATTGAAAAATTCAAAAGCTATTTGATGATCAGGAATACTGTTTATTAGCTTTACAATTCGGCTAAATAACATTTACATATATTTCATATTATAACTTAATGAATTGAAACAACAATTGAAGTTAAATTAGATTTATGGATGATATATAATTCATATAAAGCTTTGCATTTACATAAATATTATCTGAATGTTATAACTTTATAAAATGATGTTTTTATTTTCTATCTCAGGTTTAAAAGACGTTAATTGTATATGTTCAAGAATAATTCTTAACATTCCAAGTATTTTTATACTCTTTTATTGCATATATTATATACATGTATTATGATATAAATGGTATATTTTATATAAAACCCGGCATTATCACGTACATCACAACAAAAAATACATAACATTATAAATATCTTATTACAGGTGGTGTTCCGCAATTCTCTTTTCTCTTAATAGATCGAGCTTATTATAATATTCTTTCTCGTTACTACAAAGCAGCAAAAAAATGGACTTTAAAATTGTATGTAATAAATATCAGATTATTCATTTTGATATGTCTTATAGGTAACAATGATAGATTTGAATAAAATAACAATATTTATTTTCAGTCGAGAGAAAAATTATTCTGAAGAATCTTTATTTTGCCATTTATGTAACACAACCGGTAATATGGTTCCAACCGTTTTGCAATCATCTTATATAAGCAAGGGAGGAGAAAATTCAACTATGATAACCTATATCAGTGGCCCTTATAAAGAGTGTTTAGAATCGGAAGACATTGCTTGGAAGTCTTATAAGAAATATGAAGGTTTTTGCAGTGATGCAGGTATAGCTACTATATTTTGTGGAGGACCAGTTTGGGGCTTAGCTTGGTGTCCATTAGAAGAAGTTCATAATATTGAAAACGAAGAATTTGGTGAGCAGTTCATAGCTGTTACAACTCACAGGAGCTTCGATGAGGTGCCTAAACTTGATAACAGTTTAAATATGGATAAAAAAGGTGTAATACAAATTTGGAAAATTGGAGTTTTGGATGATGAAATGTAAGTTATTTGTTGACAATAAATTATATTTCCTAAGTTTATCTTTCCTCAATATTTGAAGTCATTCAACACAGAAATTGGAAAAAGCATTTTTGTATGTATTTGTTTATGGGTGTGTACATTATGAGTATGCAAACACAATATTTTTACTTTTTTGAAAATGTACATTGAACTATTTCTTCTTAGCAGTTAAGTTTAATTTTGTTTATTTAATTCTGAGAATTATAAATCCAGATAGTACAGACTTTATTTGCATTAGCATTGATTGGTTGGTCTTGAATCGATATTACTCAACTTAGTTCTTTGTAATTAACAGATTACAACAAATTATTACCAGTTTTGGAAATTGGAAACTATTCACTAGATCTGATGTATTGATTTTTAACTTATTTGTCAATAATTTTTTAACTTAAAAAAGCTACTTGCTTTTAGTTTTTATTAACTTGTAGGGGTAAGTTATAGTAATCGCAAAAAATTGAAAATGAAAATTTTTATATATATTTACGTTTCAGGGGTTTCTGAACATTGTCGCATACCTTAAAAAAAATGGATGTATGTGTGTCCATGTGTGCGGATACAAATTTTCGTTGACGATTTCAGGAACACCGATCAACCGATTTGAATACTTCAAAAAACATTCGATTCGTATTGTTAAGGAGACGGGGTAAAAAAGTGCCAAAAACGGTAACTCAGTTTTTAAGAGAACGAAACGTCCGATATTAATAATTCAAAAAACATTTTACTTGTATTGAGAAGATAAAGAACTAATTAAATTTTTGGGAAAGCAGGTCCAGCGGTTATAGACTCTCAATAAAAATAACTTAAAAAAAAATGTCATTTGGCGGTCAAAAATGTTTATTGGACATATGTGTACATCAAATTATCGAATATTCTATAGAGATTTTAATAATGTGTACATATTTTGTGTAAATTTTTTTTGGGTTCTGTACAAAGATTTTTAATCACGACACGGGAAGTTCCAGAAATTTGCCTTAAAGCACGATGCCATACACCCCACTAGTTATATTTGTTGTTTATGTAAATGCATGCTTGCATATCTATCATATTAGCATTATAATGTACTGATATTTATCAAATTTTAACAATCTTCAAATCTTCTAAATAAATATTTCAGAGAAAAGTGTACAACCAATCCCAAACTAATGTATATGATTGCACATAATTATGGGGCCATTTGGAAATTGGAATGGTGTCCATCTGGAGGTGTCTGCGAATTTGAAAAACAAACATTGCATGGTGCTGAGAAATATAAACGATTGGGTCTGCTAGCAGTTGCTGCTTCAGATGGAAATGTTTATATTTATTCTATATGTCTTCCAAAAGTGTCAGATTCAAATGAGATTCCATTATTTTATCAGAAACCAGTAGCTGTTTTAACAATGGGACATGACATGGAAAGTAGCGACCATACGACGGCTTTATCATGGACAAAGGTAAGAATTATGAAATTTTATATTATATTTGCACATATGTATTTACGTCGATGAAGGAACATATCCTTATTCATAAGTGTGTGAATGAAAGTTTTCTTTTCTTATATTTATAAATATAAATATAATCAATTCAATAAATGAATAAATATAAATACTGTTTTTAAAAGATAATTTATCTTAAGCAACTTTTTATTTTATATAAACATTTTAATAATATTATAGGAAAAGGGCCATAACATAATAGCTGCTGGTTTCAGTTCAGGTTTTGTTGCATTTTGGAATTTATCAACTGAGAGCCCATTATTAAAACATGAATATGCTGATATGTTGTGCTTTCATCCCAACTTGATTTTTAAAGCACATTACACTGTAATTTCAGGTAATTTTATCTTAAAAAAAAATTGTTCCCTTAATTGTTAAGCATTTGGGCTGTCCAAGATCCTTTCTGAATTTATGGTATGGGGTAGTATAGTATGAAAGCATCCACCTATAAGCAGATGCTTTAACTAATGCTTCTCTGTTTGCTGCTTTGGTTTATTGAAATTCGATAACTATCTTTTCCATTACTTTGTGTGTGTTGCATTTAAAAAAATATAACCGAACTGGTGTTGACAAAATTATGTATCTTTGTATGTTTGAGTTTCTTCTTTTGTTTGAAACCTTACTGTATAGTAGCATGATGTGGTTTGCACGTTCGTATTAACCTATTAACATATCACATATTATTTCATCATCACAACCCACCATCCCTGCTTTCTTTTGGGCTTCTCCATTAGTATGCAATCACAGGACATTAAATCACATTTCAATTATGGTTATGGCATGACACATGGTATATTTTAATATATACTTTCAATTAAAATGGTTTGAACATTTTATAGCATTGGTGGTTTTTCCGTACATGGATGCCTGTTATTGTTTCACTGCTTCGATGGACCGATCGATGCAGTACTGGCGCACAGACACAAGAAGTGGATCTGTCGATGCATTTCCTCTAAATGGACATTTTGGGAAAACTAATTGCATAACCGCAGCTGGTACAAATATTCATTGGATGGCAGCCTTAGTTGCTTTGGATGAAGCGTTTGGCTTTGGTGGGTCATATCAATCTTGATATTTATTAGTTTGTCAAAATAAATCATAATGAGCATATGGCAGCAGAACTTGAACTAGTTTTGATTCTATAAATAGATTTAGGTAGAAAGTGTTGAGGAAAATGGAATTATTTATGAAATATGATTTTGACAAACTTAGTAATTTATTAATAAACATTATTAATAAGCATTTATCATAAAATTTTTATATATTAAAAATATATTATTCATTAATTATCAATAATATTAAAAAAAATAAAATCAGGTAAAGCAAATTCAAGTTTTTTCACATTACGTGATTTAACATACAAGTCAACCATTGTTTTGAATTCGAGTTCCCTAATTTGGGATATAGCTGCATGCGATTGGACTAATGGATTCTGTCAAGTAACTGATGGTGGTGAATTAAGTGCAATATACCCTCATCAACTAATGGCTTATATTGATAGTTCAAAAAGGATTAAAAAGACACGATTAGTAAGTATTATGTATTTTCTATTGAAACACGCTTCATTACTTTTACCTTCTAACCCTCTTTTTGCTTGAAACATTATCACCTCAAATACAGGACTACCCCGTTTAACGCGGGAGATACGTTCCATCAAAGTAGAGCGCAATGCGAAACAGCGCTAAATGAGGCTATCTTTACATGGAAATATTGGGGTTAGGGGAAGAAGAAGGATAGGGGCAATTGGCTTGGTATTAAATTTAAAAAGTATGTTATTTTTACTAAAAATGAAACCAAACATTTATTTCTTAAAGCCCAAATTAATACCAAATTATTATTTGTTGTAAAAATAGAAACAAAATATGAATAACAAAATGAATATTCTTGAATAAACAAAAAATATTCTAAGTCAGTCATATTTAGTTAGTCTAACGTGTTTTTAGTATTTTGCCATTGTGTGACAAAAGCATCTAATGTTGTTTTACTTTTTCTTTTGCATTGTTTTATTAAAAGTTCATTAAAAAAGGATAGGGCGTCTCTAACACCATGCCCTACTTTAGAGCTCCTGTCAAAATTCGGATCATTTTCAATGAATTGATCAATTATTTCAGTTATGGTAGACAAACTCCTTTTTACAAACACCATCAAAAGTTCTTTTTGCTTTTTTGCTGAATCACTGCTGTCAACATTTTCGTTTTCTTCTTGTTCAGTTCATTCCTTGAGCTCACCATTAAAAAGTCTGCGCAGCTTCTTGAATTATTTCTTCAACATCTTCCTAATTTATCCTTTCAAAACCTGGGTTGAAATAAAAGAGCGCTAAACCGAAACAGCGCTAAACGATACGGCGTTAAACGGGGTATTGCTGTACTATAATTGTATCCAAAATTCAAGAGCGTTTTTATTATTTAACTATAGAAAAAAATGTTACATAATGACATTTCCATTCCAGATGCTAGGTGCATGCTTAATAAGGAAGTTAGAACTTGATGATAACAAAGAAGTACTAGGTAGTGCAGATAATGACACAAATACAATTATTGAAACAGTTCATGACGGGGACAAAAATGTAATACAAACAAATAAGATTATTGAAAATAAAGTTAAAAATGAAAAAAATAATGCTAAAAAAAGTGTCAACAAAAAGAAAACTAATCCTAAGGACAAGGGCAAAAATTTAACCAATTTGGAGTATGATACAAAAAGCATCACTTCTTGGGAAGAAGATTTGTCGGACACTGAAGACACTACATCTACAGCATTTGATGCAGATGCAGCTCAAAATTTAATTTTTAGGAGTTCTTACAAAGATATTGTACAAGATTATGGATTAGTTTTTTATGATTTTCCAACAGTGAGTTTTTAACTTAGTTAATTTGATTATCTATAAAACTAACTAATTGCTTTACAATGCTATTAGTCTGAGATAATATTATCATAATCTGATTTGAATGATTTAAAACACATTCAATATGTAATGATTGGGAGAACTGGTGTATAGTTTTAGTCCAGTCTATCCGGTTTCGAAGATAAGGAGCTAAATGTAAAAAAATTGCAGTTTTTGAGAAAACCAAGCATCCGATTTGAGTGATTAAAATATTCTGCTTGTGTTGACAGAACGATTGCTTTTGGGGATTTTTCTTTTATTTCAAAATTTAATTTTTTTTTTTAATTTCCAAAGAATATTTTTTTTTTTTAATTTTTATAATAAACGTTTTTATCCAATTCATAAGCTAATTTCCTTATCTATACATAAGCTTTTATATTTTGTCTATAAAATAAGAATAATGAAAGTTACAGTATTTATAACCAGCAATTTGTCTTAAGGCACAATGCCATACTATACACCACTAGTTTTGATTAATTTTTATACTCTAATAAAATTAAATGTTGTATTCATAATTTAATTGAAATATTTTATTGCAGAAAATAGAAACAAACTGCAAAGAGTATGAATCGCAAACTGTGGTAGCGCCAAACTATCCACTTAACGCCCTAACAAGAGTGGCTTATAATCCTAATAAAAAATGTCACAGCTTTATCGCCGTTGGAATGAATGCCGGTTTTGTCAGAGTGAGATTTATTGGTGATACGAAACCGAAAAGCATACGATAAACATAATCTGTGAGAATTGATTCAAAGGCTGAGCATTTTATATATAACCATAAGATGTGAGAATTGATTCAAAAGCAGAGCATTTTAATTTGATAGTTTTATATATTATATAACCATAAGATATGACAATTGATTCAATGGCAGAGCATTTTTTTTAATTTCAAGTTTAATTGTTTTTATAATATTTTGACTGGAAAGTTTATTTAGTTTTTCTTAACATGTTCATATTTGGGGTTTTTATATATTGTTAAATCCAAAATCAATAAATTCTTTAGCTTGATAGTTACCATTTTATTGGCTTGTAGGCTATTTTATTGTTTGGAATCATTAATTCAACTGCCACAAAAGAAATTATCATACTTATTTCTATTTTTTTCAGTTTTACAAAGATATATTGTGTTTAAAAAATGAAAATGTAAATAAAGTTTAATATGTATAATAATTATAATATTTTATAAACTATAAATAATAATATATTCATGCACTCAATCACCTACACTCATATACTCATATACTTGTATAGCAGTTACTTATTTTTCATTCTATTTTATATTTTTTAACAATGAATATTATAAATTGTATTATATCATAATATTACGTAATTAATGTATTTATTGTATGTTTTTGAGCATATTCATAATTGTAGTTACGGAGTTTTATTGCAGCCTTTGCAAGCTGCAATATAATTATTTTACACAAAATTCGTGGCATTAGAATTAATATCAACACTTTCCACTCGCGAATTCCGAGATTTATATGAATTTTGCCGCCGAAGCGGCGGCATCTGAGTCAAAAGGGTTAATGATGTACATTTTGAAAAAGTTGACAATAGTTATAGATTTTGACACAGGCTATTTAAAATCATTTTATTGCATCAAAAAGAAATAAAGTATGAGTACAAAAATATGATTTGCATTAACTATACACATTTTTGATTTTAATGTATATGTATAAAGTTTATTGTTGAATGTTAATATAAAATTGTTATTCAATTATAAGATTTATTTATAACTTAAATTAAGTTTTGCCAAATCTTGCACCCATTTATTTTTGTTTCAAATAAAATTGTTTAGATAAATTCTTATCTCATATGTTTGTCAAATTTAATGTAACAAAAAAAAATATATACTTGTTATATACAAAAAAAAAATATGATGTAAGAATTATATCGAAATAAAGGCCTGACAAGAGATTTTTGCATGTTCTATTTTCAAATAAATCTTCTGGATTATATTTGTGCTATTTTTATTGTCAAACACCTAACTTAATATTATTTAATTGCATTAATATGAAATATGGAAGTTCAAGCATAAAGTTTAAGAATTATTTTATTGTGGTTTATATTATAGATATTATTATCCTTATAAATGCTCTTTAGTTTCTCAAATAGGATAAGTTATTGAAATAAAAGAGTTTTAATAATTTGTGGCTTTTTTATCAATTCATAAAATATTTGATTAGTGATTGTAATGCTTGGAGACTATTAATTTCAACCGAGTGTTGTTTTATCAACATATATTTAATCTAAGTTTGTTGAAATTTCATTAAGGATCAAAGCATTTACAGACTCATTAACCAGTATTGTATTGCCAGTTTAGTTAAAAAATCCCAAAATCTAATATAAATGATTTTGATTTTATTCAACAATGTTATATCTAAATTGCAATGACCGTAGCTTTTGAATTACTTGTTTAATGAAAATTTTCAGAAGACATAGATCACTGTTTTGGAGAAAAAAGTTGTATCGGAGTCTATAAAATACATTTACTATGGAATATGGAGAAATGAACAGAATTGGCAGTGAAAAGAGAAATAATTAATCAAAAATAACAGTTACCTGAAGAAAATGCCAAAAACATTATAGCGCTGCACTAACATTGCACATTTTAATTATGTAGATTAGGGATCTATAAGGAAGATAATTTATCCAGCATCTTTCAAAAATACTTTGTTTCTTTGCGTTAAGATTGAATGTGTATTTTTAATTCAACGACTCTGATTGGTCACATTTTTTATTTACTTTCCGTAGGGTTTCTTTCAAAGGTTTCTGAACATTTTGGCATGCTTTAAAAAAAATGGATGTATGTGTTTGGATATAAATTTTCGCCGACGATTTCGGGAACATGGATCAACCGATTTGAATAATTCAAGAAGCATTCGATGTATATTTTTAAGGAGACGTGCTATTAGCTTTTGGCAAAGACAGGTCTAGCCGTTTCGAAGATACGGAGCAAAAAGAGCCAAAAGTGGTAATTCAGTTTTTGAGAAAACGAAGCGTCGGTTTTGAATAATTCAAAAGACATTTTACTTGTATTTACTAAACGAAGAACTGTTCTAATTTTTGGAAAGGCTGGTCTAGCGGTTATGGAGTTTCAATAAAAAAATAAAAAATGCCATTTGGCGGTCAAAAATGATATCATTAGACATATGCACATCAAATTTTCAGATATTTTATAGAGTCTTTAATAATAAGAACAAATTTTACTTACATTAATGTAAGTAAAATTTGATTTTAGTAAGGGACCCATAGAAATTTCTATGGGTTCCTTACTAAAATCCCTTAGACTGCTACTCGACGCTTACGCGCTTCGATATTTTGTCTCCAAAAGCAGCAAAAATTTCAAAATTCTTAAAAATTTAGTTTTTTTTTCAAAGTTTTAAACAAAATTTGAAGCCATTTTAAAAGTATTAATTTTTGGTACGGGAAGTTCCGGCAATTTGCTTTAAGGCACGATGCCATGCACCACTATAGTTTGATTGCTCATTTTAAAAATATTTTTTTCTGATATTGGCTGTCCCTTTTTGAACAACCATGAACATCAGGTAATAAAAAACAATGTGATTACTATCAAGTAGATTGAGCACTTGGGCAACCGATCCCAACCGGCATTGCTGTCTCCGATCCGACATTTAATAAAAATGTATTTCTAGATTATTTTTCGAGAATATTTTCAGTGGCATGTATTGTGATTGTGAAAGTTAATGTTGTAGTTATGTGATAGATATAATATTATGATTTGAAATCAGCACCACAAACTGAATGTTCGATACATTTGTAATCTGGTAAGTAGTAACCTTGTGGTACATAATAATTCTAGTAAATTTTATATATGGAGTCCTTTTGTCAAGCCGGTAGCTGATATCTCTTGTCAATTGATAATAACTGGTGGAGAAATTATTTATTGCTAAAACATAACAGTAAGAAATTGCGTGCCTTGCACATGCAGTTTTTTTTAATAGAATTTTTACAATTATTGTTATTACGTATCTTATGCTTGCGCTTTAATTGTTAAGGGGTTACATGGGTTTCCTCGGGCAAAAAACGACCTTTTTTCAATTATGTTTTTTACATATAAAAAATGAAATATTTTAATGATTTTTTTTTATTTGAAAGATACATATTTAATAAACATTTTGTAAAATTTTCAAAGAAAAATAATCAAAATGACGGTCATTACGACGCCATTTCCGGCAGTCCCTCGGAAAAAAGGTGCCTCCGCGTTGTCAGCAGAACTTCTTTCAGGATCATCCGAAATAAAAATAAAAAATACGTGTTTTAGTAAAAACAATACACTAGGTATTGGACGAAGAAAAAAATAAAAAAATGAAAATTAGATTTTTGGCAAATGTTTTTATAAAAAAATGCAAATTTTGATGAAAATTTCTCGACATACTTTTTTTTTAAATAGTTGTAATTAAACAAAAAGAAAATCCTTCATTTAATACCTTGTAAACGATAGGACAATATATAGGACATTTAATACCTTGAAATTTAGGACAATATTCTAGAGATGTTATAGAATTTAATAAGACAAAAGTTGTTTCAATAGACTCCAAATGATTAATCCTAGAACGGACACTTTCGAGGCGTACATGCAGATTTTTGTACTTTTAATTAAGTACTTTTGTTATGGAAATTAAAAAAAAATAAAGACTATTTGTTACTAAACCAGAGGTTTATTTTTTCTGAAATGACCTTTGATGATCACAAAGTATACAATGACAAAAGACAGATAAAAAATCACTGTTAAACATAATACTATTCTAGGGTCAATTTGATGAATATGTATTCGAAATACCTACATACAAGTGTGAGACTGGGTTACTATTTAGTCGACTAAATTGTTATAATTAAGTTTTTATACAATAGTTTTGTCATTTAGTGTATGGTGAAATATTTGAAATCAAATTGGCGTTATACAAATCGAAAATGATGTAATTGTGTAACTCTAAATGTGTCGTCAGTTTTTGCTCTTCTGAATAAGTAAAACAATAATACAATCAGAAGTTTATATTTCGTTAAGTACTGTACATATATAATATATTGTCTTACTTTATATTTAAATTTCTACCCAGGTATTTTAACAGACATGAAATACGTATAAAATAGAACAAGTGTAAATAGTAAAATTTGTTTGCATTATTTTTGTTTGTGAACAAAAAAAAAAGAAAGCTGGTTAACAATTTCAACAAGATACACATTTCAATTTCAATAAATAAGAATTAATAAAAAGTTATAATAATTTCTTCAAAACAAAAAGAATTACATGGACAATATTTTATATTCTTTCATTCATTAGTAAGATATGTGTATTTATTTTTTACCTCAATTTCAAGAATAATATGAAATTTTTAAAAGATTTTAAACATTTTACGATTTTAGAATTTTACGGTTTTAGGTACTAAAAATACACGTGTTACGTGGGGAGGGTGGGGGTTAATTTTAAATATTACCACGTATCACCAAAGAAAAAAGAGGTCCAAAAATCCTTAGAAATTGCTCACGTGATTAATAGACGCCTCTTAAATACATTTTTTTTATAAATAGCAATCAAGATAATACAATTTTATATGTTCTTTTATGAAAAGATTAAAATAATGCTAATATTCTTTAAAAAAAATTACTCCAATGAATGATTTTCTAATTAAGACTGAGGCAGAACGATACGCCAACATTTTTGAGGTCTTCTTTACTGCTGGTTCATTGAGAACTGGTTTATTAACTCATTTGAATGTTCTTCAATTTTTAATATACAATGCCAAATTAATTAAATAATCTGATGATGATTGTATTTTTTAGTGAAAGAGAAATCCTACATTGATTTAAATGGATACTAAAGCATACGAAAAATCTCGCAAAACTGATACGCCACTGATGCCTGCATTATGCAATGCTTGTGTTATAGGAAATTATGAATTAGTTGATAAACTTTTGGTTTGTGGTGCCGATGTTGAAAGCAAGGGATTAGGAGGTAATATTTTATCTCTTTCATATGCAGTATACCTATTTTATTGCTTATTTGTGTTTGAAATATATAAATATTTTTATTTAATTCAATCTCGCAGCAACGCATTGTGCAAATTTTATATGTAAACGATGAATTTACGTCAATATTGGGTTCATTTATAATATTGCAAAAAAGTCTAGAATGCATGCTGTGAAATATTTAAAGAAAATCTGAAAAAGTTTCTTAATAAATAATAAATTTCTCGAAAAATTGTTACTGTCTTATATATGTATATTTAATGCAGTTGGTACAAAAAGTCCTTCAATGAAAATTGAAAAAAATGATCAATTTGTACTAAGCAAGCCAATATTAAAAAATTAACAAAAAATACTCTTGTTTGTATGTTTCGATGCATTAAACACATTTTCTGCTCTAAACAGTTCTATTACATAATATTGGAGTGTTTATTGCAAATCTATCAATTTCCCGAATATGTTTCTGCAGACACGTTTTGTGATTTTGTAACTTACAGTCATCTTACAGTAAAATTCTACTTTATTTTAGGTGCATTTTAGTGAAAAATACTTTTCTATCATTTTTCATATTTTCAAAGTTAAACTATATAATAGTTTAACTATATGAGCACGAAAAGATTTTTAAAAATTTAAATTATTTTTGGAGATACGACCATTATAATAGGATGCCCACGATTTCTCGAGTTATACTGGAAATTTTTTGAAAAATGTTCTTTATTGATTACACTCAGGTATATACTAGCCTCATCTCAAAATAATAATGTTTACTATTTCATAAAAATTTAAAATTTTAATTTTTACTATTTCAAAAAGTGGTCAGAATTTCTCTCATCTCATTTTTCAGTCACCATTTTGTCAAAAAATCATTTTTTTAACTTAATCTTAGTAACTACCGTAGTGACATCGTTCTAGATTATTAACCTTTTTTCTTTTTTCAATTCGGATTACTAGGAAGGTTGCAGTCGTGGGCATGGTCACGTGTTAAGTTTTCAAGAACCTCCACTTCAACCACTGCTAATTTCTAAAATTAATTATTTATTTGATTTTTTTCTGTACTCTTGTAACGTTGATAAAGAAATTATAAAACAAAGATAGTGTTTTTTCAATGGTTGTTGTGATTGCTTGCCTTATGAAGGACCAATTGTAAATACTTTGATTATAACTGTATATATTTATTTTATATTAATAACAAGTTATAAGTGTATTTACAATAATTTTAATACTGTTTTTGATTACGTATTGATTGATTGAATGATTTGTATGATTTTCGATTGATGATTTTTTGTTTTTATATCAATATAGCCGCATGCTTTGATTGGCGCGAACAGATAGTATAAAAATTGTGTTTATTACGATGATTTAAAAATGACCTAAAATTTGTGCTTCTACACTAAAATACCCCCTTAAAAACAATTGTATATTTATTACAACATTCCAGTGAATTTTAGTAATATTTGGATCAAAGTGTTATTATTAACTTTTATATTGATGAAAGAAAGTTATTCAATACTTATTTGTATGATTTAATGACCTTGTCTTAATTTCTACGATAATTTTTTCTACTGCATAGAATATTAGATGAATAGATAATTATTCGCTCTTTGTATTATGTATCAAAGGTATGACAGCATTGATGCTAGCTGCATTATATGGTCATCAAAAAATTTTTAACAATCTTTTACGATATGGAGCTAATCTCCAGGCTAAAAATGAAGCAGGCTTCACAGCATTTGACTACTTGGACAAGAGGTGCCTCAGCACAAAACAGACGCCCTTTTACGACGTGACGTATTTTCAACGTGGTGAGTTTTACATTTTCTAGAACAAGTGTCATATTACAATTTACCCCGAGTTTGGGGCTAGTTGTAACGTCTACCAAAATCAAGTAGCTTCAACGCAGTATATTCAATTATTTATTAAGTTATTTTACACAACAAATAAATAAAGCACTACGATAACGTGTATTATGTACTATTTTTAACAGTGAGGAATTCAAGAAATTATATTAAAGTGGACGATGTAAAAACTTGCGATAATACTGAATATGGATTGCTGCACAGAAGAAGGAAGTCCATTCCAAAGATAAAGATACAGCAAGAATTTAATTCACAATGGAGTGAAAAATCATCAGTAAAGTGTGGTGCAGCAAATTTTAGATATTCTCCTTACATGAGAAACGAGCAAATCAATCATAGAAGTAAGAACACGCCAAATCAAATTTTATCGCCAAACGTTGCTAGTTTTTTCGGGAATATTTTGCACATGCAAAGTTCTAATATTGCTCGGCCTAAATCTGACAATGAATTTTGCATGCCATCGATGTACCAAAACTGTTTGCCAAAGAACTCATGTTGTCCAACTTTGTCCAAAGTTTTGGAGCACTACCGCTGTGAGCAGTTCATTGGACTTTTTAATCATCATGAGGTATGTAATTTATATATCGCTTTGAATTTGATTAATAATTGCATATTAATAATAACTTCTTATCTACTTTCTCTACTACCTTCTCTCATCACATTTATTAAGAAATTAGTTAAATACTTATTTAACCTTAGCTTTATATAAAAAATCGATTCGTTCTTCCCAAAAACTAAAATTAAAAAAGGTGAGCGGCGTCAGAAATGACTTGCAGATAATTATTATTATATAATTAGTTTTATATAGAGGCCTAAAAATATTTGAGGCTTAAACTGATACATAGTTCCTCATCGTTCCATTTTAATTTACTTTTCAGCAATTTTTTCAGTATTAATTCCCTTTTTTTCTGTAAATACAGTTTTTTTATAGAAATGAAATATCTATTCAAATACAGGTAATGAAAGTAGTATTTTTTTTCGGTACTTTTTGACAAATAGATATTTCTATATTTTTGAGCTTGCTGATATTCTATTCTTTATACTAGAATGTACAAGTTTTATTCACTTTATTATTATTTAAGACTCCTGATTGTATCATTTTAGGTCAACTATCAAGTATTTTGCTCATTAACGGAATCGGATCTAATTCAAATTGGTGTAAAAAATCAACATTATAGACACCAATTGCTTGATATTATTCAACGTCAGAAATCTTCAGCGTGTTACTAGTGATTTTTAAAATAATCAAGCAACCAAAAATAGTTTTAAGGAAAACGTATTTAAAATAACCATTGCTTTTATACATTTGAAATGTTATTTTAATGAAACGAGGTATTTTAATGTGTATTATTATTCATATATATTTTGATAACATGAAATGTTAAGTTTTATCTTGTAATAAACATCATTAAAATTCTAACTGAATTTTACCTTGTCTCTTTTTTTATCAAATTTTTATCGTGTGATATTGGAAAATTGAAAAGACTTTGTTTTTAACTTCCCGTAGGGTAGTTATAGTAATGGGCCGAAAATCGAAAATGAAAATTTAGCATATCTTCACGTTTTGAAGGTTTCTGAACATTTTGGCATACCTCAGAAAACAGGGATGTGTGTAAGTGTGTTTTGTATGTCCGCATTTTTTAGTCCACGTTTTCGGGCGCACTGATCAACCGATTTGAATGGTTTGAAAACATTCAATTCCTATTGATAGGGAAATGTGCTGAATAGTTTTTGGCAAAGGCAGGTTCAGCCTTTCGAGTTTCGAGAGAACAGAATCGAGTTTTTGAGAGAACGAAGAATCCAATTTGAATGATCTAAAAAACATTCAATTTGTAATGATTGGGAGAAGAGGTCATTTGTTTTTGGCAAAGGCAGGTCCAGCCATTTCGGAGATACAGAGCAAAATGTGCAAAAAATGGCAGTTTTTGGAAGAACTAAGCTTCCGATTTGAATGATTCAAAGAACTTTCTGCTTGTTTTAACAAAATGATTGCTTTTGGACAAAAAATTTTTTGTTTCAATTTTTTTTTTTATAATTTTTTTTTTTATATCGAAAACAATTCAGATTTTAACTTTAATTCTGACTAAAGTTCTAATATACTTTAAACAAAAACTTCATCTTTGCAATTCAGTTTATACAACTCTTTTAAATATTCGACAATGTTACAGTATTTATAATAATCTATTTGAGAAAATTTAATATTTCTTCGTTACAGTACGGAAAGTTCAAGCAATTTGCTTTAAGGAACGATGCAATGCACCACTAGTTAGATCTTTGTTTCAAGATCTTTCTTGGAATACCTGAAGTCTTCTAAAAAGCGAATGGATCGATTTGAGAATTTTCAAAAAATTAATTAGGTTCTCATTAAAGTCTTATAAGATTTCTCCGACAAATCTTAGCTAGCAAGTAAAACACATGAATCTGGTTGGATATAAAAAATCGTATTTAATTTTGGATACTTATTGATAAATAAGATTCCTCTCAATTTTGTGCATACGGTTAAAGTAACAAAAACAACGATTTTAGATATTGGATTAGGACTTATGTTTTTTATTATAACTATGTCTAGTATTGCCCTCTGCATTGGAAATTTCTTTTATTATTTTTTTAATTTTTCATACTTAATCGACTATTGGACGATGCATTATGAAATGGATTTTCTGAGGATTTCAATTTCAATTCCATATTAATAAATATCAGACAGAAGTATTTTTTATTGCATATATAAACTGGTGACCTGGTATGTCGGCAACAGGAAAGTCTTATATCCAGGCGAAGCACCGATTGCGTTTTACTTCTGGTGCCCTCTAAGTCAGAATTTATCAGTGGTCATAGATGGCACGAGCAATTGACAATATTTTCCAACTTATTATTTTGCACAGGTCCGCATCCAAGTAGATTTTCCGACATCTATTACTTTTCCGAAAAAAATGAGTGTGAAAAATAAACTTTCTTAATACTTTTATTTCACTACATTTTATTGTTTTTTCCCCTTTTGTTTTTTTATATTATATTAGATCTAGTAGATACGCCACTGGGGATATCCACTAATTTGTAAACAACTTGTCAGCATTTTCTGCTAAATGTAATTATATTTATAGATTGCAAAATCAAATTAAAATTAAAAAAAAACTATTTTAAATTGACATATAAGTTATAAAAACATTAATCACGATTACTTTCCACGTTTCAGAAAACTCATATTTTATAATGAAAATAATGTCTTGTAGTATAAATATTAGTTAGTTAATATTATATATTAAATTAAAAAAAAAAAATATCTTCGAGGCAAAAATCGATGCTATATATCCGCGCTCCATCGTTCTGCGTTATTAAAACATTCAAAATAATTAATTTGTACATTTATTTAATCAAATAAATAAGATTAAGTAAAATAATGGATTGGCAAAATATAAAACATATTCATCTTCTATGATGCTTCTCATTATATAATACATATTTATATTTTCATATAAAAATTAGAAAAAGACGAGTTGTATCTAAAGAATAAGATTTATTTTTATTAAGTGCTTGAAGCTCGTATAACCTTCTACAGTTCATTATTTTAAATTCAATGAATTTTTCTTTATTAGTATTATCGAACTTTTTTTATTTTTTGTATACCTATACTAATAATTATGGTTATTATAAAAATAAATATTAACGTAATTTTATAGAGTAGTTTGTCCCATATGCCTCGGTAACATAAGCATTTGTTTAAAAATAATCGCAATGAAAAATGCATGTAATTTAAATTTATATTTATATTTCAATCATGCAAAAGATTTAATATAGCTTCTACGTGACATTTAAAAAAGCAAAAATTGATCGATCGTAAATCGACATAGGGTTGATTAGTTTTGTGTGAAGATCGAAAGCCACTTTTTTTTAATGAACGGTTACAGAAACAATTTTATATACATATTTACATATAAAATCATGTATATACATATATAAAGCTTGCAGCTTGTCTACTCATTTTTTAAAACTTTGAATTTATTTAGATTTATTATTCCGCTATTTATTTATTCAATTCTGAAAATTTTCATTTTCAATATTCTATTGGGATAAATGCAAATGATAATACGGTTGAACTTTGTAACTAATTTTAACTTTTTATACAATTTGATTCTTTCATATTAAAATAGTAAATAACCGTTCAGATACTTTGATGTTTGCTCATGAGATTAACACATGCAGTTGATTGCATCTTGTTAAAAAAGAAGCCTAATTTCAAAGTAGGATTTGTCGTGTTTTTTTTGTAATGAACTCTTTGAGATCGTTATTTTTATTACGGAATTGCAATTTGGAAAATATATATAAGCTTATATATTTATATCATTTCTGCTCATAGCTTGTATTAAATATAATAATTTTATTATTCATTAATAGTTTTATAATTTTTATTTTTCATTTAATTTGATTTAATTTTTTTATTTAGTTTTTTTCAGTTTGATATAATATTGATAATTTGATTTGATATTATTGATAATTTGATATAATAATTTCATTTATATATAAAAAATGTCTTATCATTTTTTCTCGCCTGGAAATGCATTCAGTAAATTTGGTGACTAATGGGTAAAATGTATTTTAAAATGCTACCCAGCGGTAGTCATTTAAAAAAAATAGCAATAACAATCTTAAAAATAGACAAAAACAATACATACATAAGTGGATACCCATTCAACTTTTTCCCATTCTTGCTTTCAGTCAGTGCCTGACATGATCTGTAGGCCGCATTGCTTTTAGAGTCAAAAGTAAGTTTTCATGTTCGATTTCTTTTAATCATAAATGCTAATTGTAAACAGATAGATCACTTTGCTTGTTCTTTTTCTGTAAGTTGAACGTTAGTAATTAACTACCAGCAATTAGTTTTTGCATAGATAATTTAGCTAGTCAAATTTTGTGAGTGACATGTATTTCTTGAAAAATTTGTGGCATGTATTTTTTGTGAAGATGAAACAGATGAAAAAATCTAGCGAGATTTTTTTATTAAAAAAAATTCAATATAAGAGAAAAAGATTTAACAGAAAATTCTTGTTAACTTTGTTTAAAAAATTATGTTTTGTTATATATCTTTATATTTTATTCATGAGCTTTTCTACGTAGACAAATGTTCAAATTACTATTTAATTTACTTTTCTCTCAGCTAACTGGTAAATTAACAAAATTATGACTGATCAAATAAAAGTGGCAAAACTGTACTCAGTTTGCTTTCAGAATTTCTATTCAAAATTATAATTGTATATGCAATATCTATTTATCAAACTATGAGTTCGACACAAATTAGTTAAGATTAATTCTATGGTTTTTTCAGCAATTATATTTGAAAGTTCGAATTCCGTCAAATTGACAGGTTCCGTAAACCTTGTATCTCCCGTTTTACATCCTACTCGTTTTACACGTTTTCAATCTTACACGAATTTTAAAAATATTTTTTTTAACGAAATTTATTAATTTTGCATTTGCATGAAATTACAAACACTAAACTATAATTTGCTTATATCTGCAAAAACATTTCTATTGTTTTACTGTCAATAAACAACACTACAAAGTGTATGTTGCAGTTACGATTTTTAGTACACAGTCTGTGTCTATGATGGAAATAAGTAGATTTGATATGAACTCCTCGTTTTGTCATCAAAGTTAAATTTTATGTGTGTATAAGCAAGTTTGTTTGAAATACCAAAATAGAAGCATAATTGTTTGTAATTAGTGTTTATATTATAATTGATTCAATTTATTCAATATGAGCAAATAACAGAATTATTTTTACAAAATCTATAATTTATACAAAATTTTGTTGTTTGACAATGGCAAAAGATAAAAATAAAAAGCTAGAGAGTGAAACAAAAGTTTCATGTTTACAAACCAAAATTGAAATTTTGAATCATCTCCGTAATAATTAAAGAATAATAGATGTTGCTAATTTGTATTCTACGAATGAAGCTATGATTTATTAAATGTGTTTGATATTAAATATATTAATATACCCTTTTCGTTCAATGTGTTTGTTATTCATCATACTAAAAACTAACAAAAATGATTTTTTTAGTGATTTTTGTTTAGCACGGTTTTTCCATATAAGAATGAATTTTTCGAATTACAAGTTTTTTTATGGAAGCTATCTTCCGTGTAAAACGGAGGATAGGCGTATTAACCACTTAATGCTCATATTTGTTAAGAATTTACTTGCAAAAAATTGTCATATTTGTTTACTGCAATGTGTCTAGAATGTTATTACTATGAGTTAAAATAATTGAATTTTTTTTTAATATAGTTAAGTTTATAATAATAAATGAAGGAATCTAGTCACAGACTCAAAAGACGCGTTAATGTATAATTATATTTGAAAAATTAAAATTATTGGAATTTTTTACATTAACATATGTAGCAAAATATAATATAAAATTTTAGAAATCTTTTTGTGATACGATCGTCCAAGTTGCAATAAGTTAAAAAAATTCCTATTGAGTTCGTTCGTGTGCAAATTTGCCAGATTTGCGCGAACGAACTGACCTCGGTCGTAAGCATTAAGTGGTTAAATAAAATAAATTTTGTTAAAACATTATATAAATGTATGTATATATTTTTAACTTCAGGTAGAGTAAGTTACAGTAATCGCAAAAAAGTCGAAAATGAATTTGTTTTATATCTTTACGTTTCAGAGGTTTCTGAACAATTTGGCATACCTTAGAAAAAATGGATGTATGTGTGTGTGTGCGGATACAAATTTTCGTCGACGATTTCGGGAACATGGTTCAACCGATTTCAAATATTCAAAAAACATTCGTTTCATATTAATAAGGAGACGTGCTGATTAGTTTTTGGCAAAGACAGGTCTAGCCGTTCCGAAGATACAGGGCAAAAAATGCCAAAAACGGTAACTCAGTTTTTAAGAGAACGGGGAGTCCGATTTTATTAATTCAAAAAACTTACTTATATTGACAAGATGAAGAACTGACGAAATTTTTGGGAAGGCAGGTCTAGCGGTTTTGGAGATCTAGTAAAAAAAGTAAAAAAATGCCATTTGGCGGTCAAAAATGATCATTAGACATATGCACATCAAATTATCAGATATTTTATAGAGATTTTAACAATAAGTATAATTTTGGTTTACATTCCTATGGGTTCCGTACCAATGTTTACGCGTTAGACGTCGATGCGGCGCTTACGCGGTTTGATATTTCGTCTTTATGCAGTTAAAGCAGTACGATTGCTTTGGAAAAAAGTTCAGAACTTCCAAAATATTTCAAAATAAAAAAATTTTTCAAAGTCTTTTTTCCAAAAAAATCATTTTTTTCCAAAAATTTATAGTTTCTAAAAAATCTAATTTGTTCGAAGTAATTTTTTTTCAGCAATGTTAATCTTTTTAAAAAAATAATAATTTTTGGTACGGTAAGTTCCAGCAATTTGCCTTAAGGCACGATGCCATGCACCACTAGTTTTTTCTAAAATCACTTGTCCCGTTTCCGTATACCTGCTGAAAAATCCCTTCCCCGCAGAGGGCACGCGTTCTCTCCCTGCGCACACTTCCAAACCGAGAAGTCTACAACTACATACACAAGTGCAAATGCAAAAAGAAGATGGCGCCGTTCAGAAATTCTCACAAAAGCACCGGTTATTCAGTACTCGCCGAAACGCGGTGGCAGACGGACGCGTCATCGTGTTGCGCTCCATTCGAATTGCCGAACAATGCGCGAACTATATCGTCAAATCAAATATCGAAACGAGTGGTAAAGATTCATTGAACATCTGATTGATTTATAATATTGTATTAATATCCTGAGTGTTAGAATAAATTTATTATAAAGGATTAACAGTTTTAAAAATTAACGAAATATACATTTTTAATTTTCTGCGAAAATTTTATTAGTAAATATTTTACACGATTCTGATTAGTGATACAAGTGGAAGAAGTGAAAAATTGTAAAAAAAATGTTATAGTGTTAATATACAAAATATGTGCGGTGTTTAAAATTAAATAAAAATATATCTGTGACTACTGAAATTTATGTTCTTAAATTCGCCAAAGCAATCAGTAATGATTTACTAAGATTGTTTCAATCAAGGGTCCCTTTAGTGATAATTGTCTTAGGGACCCCTATACTTTGAAAAGTGAATTTATTATAATGTTTTAAAATAAACCCTCACCATTTTTTACTATGGCTGTAAACAACAATATTGTAACCGAATGGTTAAAATCCTTAGGCCTAGCCCACTACGCCGAAAGTTTCATTGACAACGGTTACGATGATCTAGAAATCTGCAAACAGATCGGCGATCCCGATCTTGATGCCATAGGAGTCTTGTCAGCCTCCCACCGACAAAGGCTCCTGAGTTCTGTGAAACATTTACGAGAAAAGGGTGCTGCTAGTGTTTATTTTACATTAGGTGATTTAAGTCATTTTTCTGGAACTTCGAGTAATGCATCTAATGACGATTGCATTGATGACGACAGCCCAACAGCTGGACCGTCAGGATTGTGTCAAAGTGCCAAAGGTGGATTGGAGCACACGCTCAGGAGGGAACTGCAGCAGGACGGAGTCAGGCTTGCACATCAGCCGTATTCTATGCAGGTAGGAGGATAGTTGTCATATGATAGATATAAGAATTCACCTGTTGTGACCACATACGACACAAGTCCTGTTCCAATTTGATTCTTATGTTATGTAAAAATTAATAGTAATTGATGTTCATGTCGCAACATTTATACCATAGTACCAGGACGTCCAATAACTGGATTGGCTTTCGATTTAGACATTCTAAGTACTACCAAAAATTTGCTGATATTTTATAATTGAATAGGCGTAAATTTTTAAAAAAAGTCGAAACATTTAGGATAAATCACACCTGGACGTCCAATCACTGAATTGGCATTCGATTTAGACATTCTAATTTCTATAAAAAATTTGCTGATGTTATATAATGAATACGTCCAAATATTAAAAAAGTTGGAACAATTACGACAAATCATACCCGGACGACCAATCGTATCGTATTCCGTAATCGTATTCGTATTCCATTTAGATATTCTAAGTACTACCAAAAATTTGCTGATTTTCTATCTCTAATAAATGCAGATAATGAAACAAAGCCGGAATATTTAGAAAAATGTGATCAGATTATCAAATACACTGCACCAAGCACATATTTATGTATAAAAATGACAAATATATTTTTTTTACTTTCAAATAACTACATATTTTCTAATTCTAATTGGCGTAAATTAATATTTCTCGTTTTTTTAATATATTTTATTGGCCTGGCTTATTCGAGCATTTAGCCACATACGTTATTATATATAATCATATATCCTATACAATTTTCAATTTCATACTATCTTTTCCTCATAAAATATAATGTCTTTTCATATAATGTCCCAACTATTCTTTCTACACTTCTTATCTTCATTCTTCATTCTTCATTCTTCTTTCTTCTCCTTTACTATAATCATTCTTCTTTGTTCTTCTTTACTATCTTCTCATTTCTTCTTCTAAACTCATTTTTATTAAATTCATTTTAATTAAATATTAATTAAATTTACACAATGATATTTAGACATTTTAAATACATACTACCAAAAATTTGCTGATTTTTTACATGGAATAAATGCAGATAATAAAAAAACTCGGAATATTTAGGAAAATATGATCAGATTATCGTATAAACTGCACCACATATTTAAGTACGATTAAAGAAAAATACGTATTACTAATTCTTATAAATTACATTCTGCCTATAAATTCACTTAACAATGCTTTTTAGTAGGAAAACCCAATGGCTTACCTTTTATTTTTGTACTACATTCTAGTCTCATTTTCATCTTATTTTACAAAAAATAAAAAAAAACTATGATATAAAAATGTACTTTTTTATTTGCATATAAATTACAATCTGTCTCTAAATATACATTGAATAATTGGTTTCAAAATTAATAGAGGATTTTTAGATAAAAATCCCAATGGTTTTCCTTTTATTTTTGTGCTTATTCTAGTCTCATTTTAATCTTATTTTACAAATAAATGATATACAAAATGTACTTTTTTGCATATAAATTAAGATCTATTTATAAATATACCTTGAATAATTGGTTTGAAAATTAATAGAAGATTTTTAGATGAAAACCTTAATGGTTTAACTTTTATTTTTTCCTACATTACAATTTAATTTTTTACAAAAAATTTATTATAGTTATTTTACAAAAAATGAAAAAAACTATGATATGACAAAATGTACTTTTTTATTTACATATAAATTAAAATCTGTCTTTAAGTAGGCATTAAGTAATTGGTTTGAGAATTAACAGTGCCTTTTTAAAATAAAACCCAATGGTTTACCATTGATTTTTGTACTACATTCTGATCTAATTTTTATCTTATTTTACAAAAAATGAAAAAAACTATAATATACACATAATTATAAATTTAAATACACTACATATACATATACATAAACACGTATACATAAGTAATTTGGTGAAACATATACTAAATAACATATTATATTATCTTGTTCTATTAAGTCTTAAATTAGACGTAGTAAAATACAAAAATAAAAAAAAATATTTTTTATACTTTTAAATCAAATAACTACATTTTTTTTATTCTCATTGGCGAAAATTAATATTATACTGGATGATATTAATTAATATTATGAGTTTACACTATAATATTTTTGGTTCTTACAAAATATATGTTGTACTTTACTAACAGATTTTGTTTCAAAAATTACTTTGTTAGGAGTCCACGAAGGATCTCCAAATTGTTTCGATATATCATTTAATAAGATTAAAATTATTAATGTTAATTTTTACATTTTGGTAAACTTTTACATTTTATAAACGTGTTGATTATTTATCTACATTATAACTAAATTGAGTTTCTCACGATATTGACTAAAACACACCTACGTTCATATTTAAAGATTGACATTACAAATGACATTGTCATGATAATTTATTGTGGATCTAGTTGAGTGCACTTCAATTTTTTAGTTAAGAGTTTTTGTATGTAAACTGTATAAATAATCAGAATAAACAAAATATGCATATGTTTAATTAATAATGTTTGAAATAATATTTGGAAGAACCTAGTTTTCATTTTGTTATATAAAAATTCATATAAACGGATTTTTATAATTGATAATTCATCTCTAATCGTAATTGAGTTTTTTTTTCAAGACATATGAAAGACTAATTTTGAATTTTAAATATTTTTCCAGTTATGATTTTGATATTATTATTATATACCTGCAATAAAATGGAATGGTAGCACTGTAAACTTAATTAGAAACCTATAAATTAATATAGTATTACAGTAAATTTAATTAGAAATCTATAAATTAATTTAATTCATTACTTTAGCTAACATTACCACACTAACATTATGACATTTTACATCACATATTGCTAAGCTATTTTAAAAGTTATAAAATATAAATAATAATCAATATAATTTAAATCTAAAATTTTAACGAAGTTGCAGTTATTTTCATAATATTGATAATAATAATATTTCTGTATTATTTTTCTTATACACCATTCAATTCTATTAAATATAAGGTTCATACTTTATTTAAATGAGAATATTGTATTACCATGAAATTAATATTGAAATTTTTAATCAATAAAAAAAATGAGTACTCTTTATATGTGATTATTATTAAATATTAAATTAATACCAAAATTTTTCTTGATAGCTCGATAGCTTTTCTAGTTCTGTAAATTAAGGAGTCATTTGACTCTGATTGTTATAATTAAATAAAATTCAACTAAATTCAAAAATTAAATACAATGGTATACAAATCTTTGCCAAAATGTGTTATTTTCATTGCATAAAAGATGTTTGGATGCACATGATTTTTAAAAAAAAATATTTATAATAGCAATCAAGATACAATGAAATTTTATAAAATATTGTTACATAGACGAGAGAAATAAAAAAATAGACCAGGTGAAAAAATAATGATTTAGAGTTCACTCCATTGAGAGAAGTCTAGTGTTTCATTTATACACAGATGAAATGTTTCAGTTTTATTTTTTTAAGGTCAACGTTATAATTTATCCATATTTAATTTTCCCACACAAGAATAAATATCAATAACATAACTAGACAAGGATTCAACTACTAACGGCGGACGAATTAATCTCTCAAAAGTTCTTTGAATTAATTCTCTTAAAATAATTTACGGAAGATGAAAAGTTTTGTAAGTTGTTTATTTATAAAGCTGAAGGAAATTCGAGTCGCGCTATTTCAGATATAATTGTAAAGGTATGAGAATTACTTATTGCGGATTTCTTGATGCGAACTTTCCCAGTCTTGTGTGATGAACGAATTATAGTATTTACCAGATATTATACCAACTTTTATTGAAAGTTCTATGAATGGTTGCATTTTGACTTCAGGAAAAACAATATTACTTATATAGAGAAATACATAACTATAATTACTATACATATATAAAATTGTAGATTATTTGAAGAAACATTGCTGGAAGTTAAAATATCTACAAAATTAGAATATTTGCAGAAATGTGGCATAGTTCAAATAATATTGGATTTGAGCTTCGGAGCCAATCGTAATTACAAGTCACTCTTGCAAATATATTCTGTAATTTATCTAAATTATTCATGTTTCATACTCTGCTTTATTCAATCATCTTTTTTTATTAAAATACAATACAATCAGAAATTACAATAATAACCACCTTATTTAAATTAAAAATTCTTTTTGTTAAAGACAATTTAGTGTATAAATGGTAGTGCTAAAGTATGTGCTTTGTGCACATCTATTAATGCAAGACACTAAATTTTTATTCACTGATGATGACATTAAAATTTATGTCGAAACGGTTGGAAAAATTAAAAATTAATTTATAAATAGATGAAAATATTAATTTATATATATATATATATATATATATATGTATTATATTTTTGGGTGTAAAATGTTTATAATGTATAATTATATTAAATCATAATAATTATATTGAATTGGAAGCCAGTTATAATTATTTTCTGGCAACTGGCAATATGTGCATGTCAATGTTGAGTGTAATGTTAGTTTTATAATTTTTATAATAAATATGTGCTTGATAAACTATAATGCAGTGAAAATTCGATCCATCTTACAATTACTCAAAATTAATAAAAAAAAATCCCGTGATGTATTTAGTGCATTACCTATATACTTTATTAACTTCCCTTAGGATAAGTTATAGTAATCGTAAAATATCGAAAATGAAAATTTTCATATCTTTACGTTTCAAAGGTCTGAACATTTTGGCATATCTTACAAAAATACTAATTCTGGTCTACGATTTTGGAAACACGTAGTAACAAACATGTAAATTGACTATAACTTTTAACCAAATTATAAATTGGGTTAATCCTCTATTTAAATCATTAATTGGGTTAATCAATAATTTGTATTTTTACATAAAAATGAAAATATGTTTATCCGATAGGTCGAGACGCGGCGCATATGCGCTTCTATATTTTTTTTTCTAAATTACCGAGCGCAATATTTTTGAAAAAAAAAGTCAAAATTTTTAAAATATAAAAAACATACAAATTTTTCAAAAAAAAAAA